AAGCTGGAGCGCCTGCCCCGTGCTTGGAGTGGGTGGGCGGGACGGGTGGCCGGGGAGAGAAGGCTTGGGGACCCGCAGAACCGCCCCTCCCGCACCGAGAGCGTAATGCTAGCGGGCTGGGCAGGTGGAGGAGGGTGGCTCGGGGGCTTCCTGGAGAGGGGCTGAGTGAGTGCTTACAGTGGGGAGCGCGAGGACATCGCATCTGTATCTCAGACAAAATAAACAGCCAGCAGGATGAGCCAGCTGCAGAGGAGCCAGCTGCAGAGGCAAAGGAAACCACTGAGATCCTGTCTCAGTCTGCTAAGGCTGCCTTAACAGAATGTATTCTGGGTGGCTTAAACAGAAATTTATTTTCTTGTCAGGTGTGGTGGTTCACGTTTGTAATCCCATCACTTTGGGAGACCGAGGCCAGAGGATCCGTTGAGCCCAGGAGGTCGAGGCTATAGTGCGCTCTGACCGTGCCGCTGCACTCCAACCTGGGAGAGAGAGCAGGACCCTGTCTTGAAAATGAATAGCAGGGTGAGGTGGCTCATGTCTGTAATCCCAGCACTTTGGGAGGTGGAAGCTGAAGGATTGCTTGAGCCCAGGAGTTTGAGACCAGCTTAGGCAACACAGTAAGACCTTGTGTCTACAAAAAAATCAAAACATTAGCCGGGCGTGGTGGCATATGCCTGTAGTTCCAGTTACTCGGGAGCTGAGGCAGAAGGATCACCTGAGCCCAGGAGGTAGAGGCTGCAGTGACCTGTGATCTGTGCCAGTGCACTCCAGCCTGGGTGAGAGTGAGACCCTCAACTCAAAAACAAACAAACAAAAATAAATTTTAAAAACTTTCAGTCATGGCTGGGCCATTGGGCCATTGCTAGGCCATTGCCAGGCCACTGTGGCCATTTCCTCACTAGACTCTGATGTGGTCATGTGTTTTGAGCTATGGCCTGGCCACGTTTTCTGGCTCTGGCCCCCTCCCCTACCTTGGGGAGGTGACTCTCCTCTGTCTCTCTAATTTACTTTCTAAATAAACGATATTTTCTAATCTAGATAATAATAATCATAAATAAAACTTTTAAACCAAGAAATGTATTTTCTCACAGTTCTGGAAGTTGGAAGATCAAGATCAAGGTGCTGGGAGGGTTGGTTTCTCCGGAGGCCTCTCTGCTGGGCCACCCTCTTGCAGTCTTCTCCTGTGGTCGTCCCCCTGTGGGCACACACCCCTGGTGTCTTCCTCTTATGAGGATGCCTATCACCAGACTCGCCCCACAAACCTCATTTTGACTTATTCATCTCCTTACAGGCTCTGTCTCCAGCCACAGTCACCTTCTGAGGTACGGGGTGGGGGGAGGTTAGAACCTCAACATACAAATTTTGACAGGACTCAGTTCCTTCTGGAACAGATCTCATGTCATCAGATGAGCAAAATGGATAAGGCTGTCGATGCCAAGTATTGGTCAGGTGTGGCCCAGATGAAACTCACGCTCTGCAGATAGGAGTATGTTTTGTGGTCGCCCTGGGATGGGGTCAACCCTCTGCCCAAACCTTGGTTCAGCTTGAGGTTGATGAGGCCACAGGGGAATCGGAAGAGTTTGAGTACTCCATAATGAGGCTGTCTAGGGGGGCGTAGGGTGGCTCCCTAGCAGGTCTGAAGAGAGCAAGGAGGGGATTTTACTGCAATTAGGGGCTGAGGCTGGGGTGAGGGTCCCCCTAGACTGGCCAGGGCCTTCCTGATTGAAATTTCTCTCCAGTGGGAGGGAGGCCATCTCAGGGCCTTCCTATCGACTTGCCCAGATTTGGGCACAAGGGGAAGAGGCAGGCGGGGTCTTGGAGGCTGTTCACAGGCAAGCATAAAAAAGGAGTCAGTCTCCTTATTACAACGTGTGAATGAAAACCCATGCTGTGTTAACCAGTTTGGCAATACTGAGTGAAGCTGAAGGGCTTAGCTTCTGTGATGGAGATGGCTACAAGTCCTTCAATCTTGTTGCAAGGCAGAATCTTTTCATTGTTGTTGTCCATTGTTGTTATCTATCTCACTCTATCTCAGGCTGGAGTGCTCTGGTGCAATCACAGTTCACCACAACCTTGACCTCCTGGGGCTCAGGTGATCCAAATACCTGAGACTACAGGCACACACCACCGCCCCTGGCTAATTTAAAACCAAAAAAAATGTATGGAGACAGGCGCTCACTCTGCTACCTATGCTGGTCTTGAACTCCTGGCCTCAAGCAATCCTCTGGCCTTGGCCTCAGCTGGTATCTTTGAACGAGAAAGTAAAGGGAGACTGGAAAGGGGAAGGTCACGTGACAATGAAGGTCGAGCTTGCAATGCTGTGGCTGTAGGCCCAAGAGCTCCAAGGGCCACCCACAGTCACCAGAAGCCAGAAGGAGCGGAGGGCATTTGCACTTGGAGCCTCCAGAAGGAACCGACCATGACTGCCGACTTCGGGCCTCCCAAACTGAGAGATGATACATTTTGTTGTGCAAGCCTGGTTTGTGGTATTCTGTTACATCAGCTCCAGGAAACTGATGCCTACCTCGGTAAAGTTGGTTTGATTATGGTTTTTGTTTTGTTTTTTGAAGTCAGGGATCTTGCTGTATTGTCCAGGCGGGTCTCAAACTCCTGGGTTCAAGTGATTCTCCCACCTCGGCCTCCCAAAGTCTAGGATTACAGGTGTTGAGCCACCATGCCTGGCTTTGTTTTTTAAACTGGGAGAACACTTGGAAACATAAAGTTACAAGAAAAAAGCAAGTTGCAAGCCGGGTGTGGTGGCTCATGCCTGTAATCCCAGCACTTTGGGAGATGGAGGTGAGAGGATTGCCTGAGTCCAGGGATTCAAGACCAGCCTGGGCAACTTGGCGCGACCATGTCTTTACAATAAATTTAAAAATTAGGCAGGTGTGGTGGCTCACACCTGTGTTTCCAACTACTTGGACGGCTGTGATGGCAAGATCAACTGAGCCCAGTAGGTCAAGACTGTGGTGGCTGTGAGCGTACCACTGCGCTCCAGCCTGGATGACAGAGTGAGACTCCAACTCAAAGAAAAAAAAAAAAGCAAGTTGCAAAACAGTGCATGCAGTGTGAAATATTTTGTATAAAGGTTTTCAGTGTTCCATACAATACGACTTATTTTTCACAGACCTCATATACATATGTCATAAAAGCCCCCAGGGACCTTAGTCTGGAACCAAGCCATTCTGCTGTGGAGGAACAGGGAGAGCAGCAGGTGTTCTGCTAGCCTCTGGGTGTCCAGCATAGACTACCCAAGGCATTGTGAGATCTGGGAAGGCTTCTCCAGGGAGGAGACCCCTCACCTCAACCCTCAGTCAAGACTTGGAAGCCAAGCAGCTCACCAGGTGGGTGGAAGGGTGGCAGGGGGCATTCCAAGTTGAGCGTACGGGCATCTGGCCTGCTTGTGGCCAGGCTGGAGAGCGGTGAGGGCTGAGTGAGTGTCCCTTTCTTCTTGTCCAGATATGTCCCAGCCTCCCCAGGGCTTCCTGGGGGTCACTCTGTCCCTCCTAGCCATCTTTCTCTTGGGATCAATAGAGAGGCTTAGAGAGAGGGTAGGGCTGGGGGCCTTCAAGTACCCAGTGGCCAGGATCCTTAGGTCTGGTAGGGAGATGGAAGCCAGGACTCCTAAGTTCATAGGCGTCTAGGGACCAGATTAAAATCTCTAAAGCCAAGTGTGGTCACTCACACCTGTAATTCTAGCTACTTGGGAGGCTGAGGTAGGAGGATCACTTGAGGCTGTGAGATCAAGAGCCTGAACAACATAGTAAGACACTGTCTCTAAAAAATTTGGGGGACGGTTCAGCCTATAATCCCAGCACTTTGGGAGGCCAAAGCAAGAGGATTGCCTGAGCCTGGGGGTTTGAGACCTGCCTGGGCAACTTGGTGAGACCTCGTCTCTACAATAAATCACAAAAAGCTAGCTGGACATGGTGGCATGCATCTGTAGTTCCAGCTACTTGCAAGGCTGAGGTGGAAGGATTGCCTAAGCCCAGCAAGTCAAGGCCACAGTGGCCTTGAGCATGCCACTGCACTCCAGCTTGGGTTGACAAGAGTGAGACCCCAACTAAAAAAAAATTTTTTTTGGAAAAATCATCCAGACATGGTGGCTAATAATAATCCCAGCTACTTGGGAGGTTGAAGCAGGAGGATCACTTGAGCCCAGGAGTTGAAGTCTGCAGTGAGCTATGATTGTGCTACTGCACTCCAACCTGGGTGATAGAGCCAGACCCCGTTTAAACTAATGAATTAATTAAAATGCTTAAATGTCCAAAGAGTGACAGGGCTGAGAGCCAGGGAAGCTGGGACGAGGGGTCTGCTGATAAATGACTTGGCCTCCTGAGCTGGTTTTCTCATCTGTGAATGGTGTGATCTCACAGCAACCCTCATCTGTGAATGGTGTGACCTCACAGGGTTGCTGTGAAGATGAAATACAATGTGACATGCAGGTGAGTCACCTCTGGCCACGCAGAGGATCACCAGTGAGGACTAAGTGCTGGCTCCACACCCTCATTTCACCTTTGCTCCCCCATAAGCTAGGAACTGTTAACACCCCCATTTTACAGATGGGGGAACCGAGGGCTGCAGAGATTAATCAGCTGAATGGCCCATTGCACACATCTGGCAAGTGGCCACACTGGATCTTGGACTGAAACCCAGTGATGCCAGTACCCATAAGCCAAGCTCCTTTGTTGTGTGGTTTTATTGGATCGTTTGGGTTTATAGGTCTACACTCCCTCCCACGTCCTGCATGGACTGTGACCTTCCTGAGAGTAGGCCATGACCACCTCACCCCCAGATGAGCCTAGCCCCCTGCCTGGCAGAGGGAGCTCAGAGAGGGTGTGTGAGTGTGGTGTGGCAGAGCCCAGGGTGACTGGCATGTGGCAGGGACACTGAGCTTATATTTAGGGGTCCAGTGGCAGCATCCAGGGGAGACTGGGATGTCTTCAACTCTTCAGCATTGGCCTGGCTGCCCCTGCAAGAACTGTGGGAGAAAATGCAACCCTGCCGAGCAGAGTGGCTCTAAGATGAGGCTCCCTTACCCTGCTATCTGCTGGCAAGGAGGCCCGTCCCAGCCCCAGGACCTAGCAGTCCCATCCCCTAAACCATCCCACCAGGGAGCCCTTTCTCCCCTCTTCCCACAAGCCAGGAGTCCCAGCTCCCACCCTCCTCCTCTTTTTCTAGAACCCAGGCCAGGAGGCCCCCAGTCCCCCAAGACTCAGGAGTCCTGACCCCCTGCCAAGGTGTATGGACCCAACTGATACTGGCCAGCAAAAGCCACTAACTGGCAACCTTTTCCAGTTTCACATGCAGTGATGCCACAGGGGTAGCTTGAAATCAGCCAAGGAGGGAGCATTTACACCACGGAAATTAACAAATGCAGCACACCAGGGTTTTTGTTTGCTTGTTTGTTTTAACGTTTTTAATTTTTTTTATTTTAAAATTGTGGGGTACATGTCAGGGTTAAGTATACAGATATTCACTGTGCAGGTACCCTTGTTGATGAGGTGTGCCCCTTCTTCCCCAGGCAGATTTCCACTACTGCCAATCCCACCTCCCTGCCCTCCCTCCCCTCCACAGTGGTTTTTGTTTGTTTTAACCAGAAAGCCTGTTGCTAAGTATTTCCGAGGACATCACTGCTCCCAACCCTCTGTGTATCCTGCTCTCTGGGCCAGGGGCCCCTGCCACAAGGCCCAGGAAACCTCACAACAAGACACAAGGCCTCAGCGGGGGCATCACCACTGCCCAAACTGTCCTGGGCCCGGACCCAGCCCCTGCCTGGATCTCCCCCTCTCCACACCATGGCTCTGTCCCAGGCTGGCGTGTGGTGCCCAGCTCTGCACAACTCAGAACTGAGAACCCCTGGTGTGGAAATACATGGACTCAGCTGTGGCTACGGGCAGGGCACGTTAGCCATGTGGGCTGCAAGACCCTCGTCTGCAGCATGGACATCAGTCAAGAGCAGGACCCTAGAGTCACTCTGCTGCTTCATTCAGGTTCTGCCCGTGGTGTAGCTGAGCCTGTACTACAAAAATCACAAGAGGTTTGTCTTCTTTTCTTTCCTTTTTCTCCCTGCCTGCTTGCCTGAAGGTAGTCATTTCAGTAAAGACTAGTAATTGATTATCTTCATACCTAGCCCCCATGCTGTCCACAAGACTGATGAAAGTGTTGTTCTCTCAAAGAACAAGGCAGACCTCCTCGGTGGCATCCAGGGGATTGATCTGCCGAGGGTCAAGGTTCGCAGGCAGCTCTGATCATGGAGCCCTCAGCTCCCCCATGCCTACCCTGCTCAAAAAAGTCCTTGGGTATGTTCAAATGTCACTGGGATTTGAGAGTCTGCCTCTCCTGCCCTCACGCTTTGGCCAAATCAAATAACCCTTTCTCTGCTCCTTTTTAAATTATTTATTTATTTATTTATTTTTGAGCTGGAGTCTCATTCTGTCGCCCAGGCTGGAGTGCAGTGGCACGCTCACAGCCCCCGCAGCCTCGACCTGCTGGGCTCAGGCGATCCTTCCGCCTCAGCCTTCCAAGTAGCTGGAACTACAGGCACGAGCCACTATGCCTAGTTTATTTATTTATTTATTTATTGTAGAGATGAGGTCTCATCTAGTTGCCCAGGTTGGTCTGGAACCCGTGGGCTCAGGCAATCCTCTCACCTCGGCCTCCCAAAGTGCTGGAATTAAAGGCATAACCCACTGCGCCCAGACTCCTTTCTCTGCTCCTAAGTGCTGATGTGTGAGTGTTTGGCTCTCTGGGCATCAGGTACTCGAACCCAACTTGGGGGATTCTATGACAATGGGACCCCAAGCAAAGCAGATAACCTCCCTGAGCTTCAGCTTCCTCATCCGTAAAATGGGGATGATAGTAAGTCCTGCTTCCCTAGGCTGTCATGAGAGTGAACGAGTTATGCCTAGAAAAGCGCTTACTCAAAGAGTGCTTAATGCGTGTGGGATTTTTTGTTATTGTGGCCGTCAGTCATTTCTTATCCCACAGGGAAGGGCGGTTGGGAGGGGAAGGAAGTTGACGCCTGTGCTCCGTGTGGGATCTGCACACAGTGGGTGCCCAGTTCCCTGGCCGGGTGGTCCTTTCCCACCGAAGTAAGATGTGCCAGTGTCCTGACCCGGGTGGGGGCGGATTTCTCTTGGCCGCGCCTGGTCATTCCGGCCGCCAGGGGGCGTCCCGCCCCTTCCGTGGCCCCGCCCCTTCACCT